AACAATTAGTGTGTTGCAGTCTATCTCCCCTTCCAGCAGTCTTTCCTTCACATATTTGGGTGCTCCTGTGTTAAGCACATAGCTATTTATAAGCATTATATCTTCTTGATCTATTGACCCTTTAATTACAACATAGTGCCCTTTTTTCTCTCTTCGAACAGTTTTTGTTTTAAAGCCTATTTTGTCAAAAATTAGCATCATGACTCCAGCTCTATTTTGGTTCCCGTTTGCATGGAAAATCTTTTTCCAACCCTTCACTTTCAGTCTATGTATGTCTTTATCCAGGAACTGATTTTCTTGTAGGCAACAGATAGAGGGTTTCTGGGTTTTTTTATCCATTCAGCCTGTCTGTGTCTCCTGATTGGAGAATTTAATCCATTCACATTCAATATTATCGATGTTACCAGACCTGTCAGACGTTTAAATTGGCCATTGTCTTGGTTACCTTTTATTCCTTTTTTCCTTTGTTTCTGGCTGTTCAATTGTGATGAACTTCCCTCTTATGACTGCTTTAGCAGTGTCCCAATTATGAAAACTCGTGCCTTCATTGTCACTGGCTTCCATGAATCTTTTGATTTCAGTCTTTATTTCTTCGGTAGTAATGCAGTCATTCAGGAGTAGGTTATTTAGTTTCCATGTATTTGGGTATTTTTGAGGATTTCTCTTCAAATTCAAATCAAGTTTAATTCCTTCATGGTTGGAGAAGATGCTGAATACAGTTTCTATGTCTCTGAATTTGTAGAAGCTTGCTTTGTGCCCTATGATGTGGTCAATCCTTCAAAAGGTTCCATGTCGGGGTGAGAAAAAGGTTTATCTCATGGTTTTTGGATGGAAAGTTGTATAAATGTCTGTTAAGTCCATTTGATTTATGGTATCATTTAGATCCTTGATTTCTTTACCTTTTTTTTTTTGCCTAGATGATCTGTCCAGAGGGGATAGTGCGATGTTGAGATCTCCAACAATTACTGTGTTGCAGTCTATCTCCCCTTTTAGATCTAACAGCCTTTCTTTCACATATTTGGGTGATCCTGTGTTAGGTGCTTAGATATTTATAAGCATTATATCTTCTTGATCTATAGAGCTTTTTACTACGATATAGTGCCCTTTTTTGTTTCTTCGAACAGTTTTTGTTTTAAAGCCTATTTTGTCAGAAATTAGTATCACAACTCCAGCTCTTTTTTTATTCCAATTTGCATGGAAAACCTTTTTCCACCCATTCACTTTCAGTCTATGTATGTCTTTATCCATGAAGTGGGTTTCCTGTAGGCAACAGATAGAGGGTTTCTGTGTTTTTATTCATTCAGTGAGTCTGTGTCTCTTGATTGGAGAATTTAATTCATTCACCTTCAATGTTATTATCGATGTTACAAGATCTGTCCCGACCTTTAAGTTGGCCATTGTCTTAGCTGCCTTTTATTCCTTTGTTTTTGTCTGTTAATTCTTTAGTTTTCCTGGAACAGTACTTTCTTCAGAGTTTCTTAAGAGCTGGTCTGGTGCTTGTGAATTCTTTCAGGTTTTGTTTGAGAAGATTTTTATCTTTTTTTCCCATATAAAGGATAGTCTTTCAGGATATAATAATCTTGGTTGAAATTGTTTCTCTCTTAACACTTTCAATACATCTTCCCATTCTTTCCTTGCTTGCATTGTTTCCATTGAGAGGTCCAATTTAGCCTGATGGGATGACCTTTGTAAGTCACTTCTCTTTTCTCTCTTGCCTGTTTCAGTATCATGTCTTTATCTGTGGTCT